GAGATTTGCTGGACAATAATCAACATATTGCAAGAGGGTGGATTTGGGGCTCTGGGGGTGAAAAGATTGGAGGTTGGAGGCCAAGGTTTGTCCAAAGAGGTGTGGACTATCTCAAAATCCCTGAAGAAGGACAGTCCAGGTTAAAAGCAAAAAGATGTCCTTTAAATCTATGACCAAGAAGTGGGTGGCAGTGTGGGGGATCTGAGACAGCAGAGTGTATGGGTTGGGAACCAAAGGATGTATGGGCCTAACGAAGGTGTTGATAAGTCATAGGTAGGACCAGTTGGGCTTTTTTACCACTAGTATGGGAGTATTGTAAGGGGAATGAGCAGGATGGAAGTACCCCTTGCTAAGAAGGTCCTGAATAATAGTTTGTAGGCCCAGAAGAGCTTTTGTGGACAGGGGGTATTGAGCCTGATTGGGAAAGGTGTTAGGATCTTTGAGATGAATGTTAACTGATGGGCAGGAAATGATGGAGGGGGTGTGGGTATCCCATACAATCGAGTCAACCAGGTTAGTATGGTGTTTCATGTCAGCCTCACAAGTGGAGCAGAATGGCCAGTCTTCTGCCAAAAGGACAAGAAAAGATGAACAGGCTGATTCTGGGGCCTGACTGATGCCAGGAGCCTGGATGTTGATTGTTGTATTGAATTTAGAGAGAATATCTCGGCCGAGCAAAGGAACTTAACATTGGGGCATAACTAGGAACATCTGAGAGAATGGGAAGTTGTCTATGGAACAGAGTAATAGGGGAGTCTTTCTTAGATAGATGGTCTTTCCTCCTACCCTGACAATAGGAGAGGTGGACGGCACTGTTTGCCCCCAGAATTCTGTCAGGACTGAGAAGGTAGCCCCGGTGTCAAGGAGAAAGTCAATCTTGCACCTATCCACCTGAATCCGCACCCTGGGTTCCTGTCTATTGATTGTTACAGCCAGGGACAAGGACCCAAGGAACTGTCAATTGATTGCCATGCCCAGAAGGTCGGGGGGGTTCCCTGGCCATAGGTCTTCTATGGGATCTAGGACAGTCAGAGCCCCAATGATCTTGTTGTTGACATTTAGGGCATGGAGTATGCGGAGTGTGTGGTGCGGGGCATGCCCTGGCCCAATGTCCCTCCTTGCCACACTTGAAGCAGGCACCCAGGGGGGTTTTCGGTGATGGGCGGCGACCAGAGGAAGCACCCTGCAGGGCCTGGGCGAGCATCTGAAATTTCTCAGTCTGGGGGTGTCAGGGCCATGTTCGAGCTTTTTTAGTTTGGCCCAGATGTCGAGGTAGCTCTGCAAGAGGAAATATGTCATAAGGACATGACGGCCATCTGGGGTTTCGGGATCTAGGTTAGTGCTGAAGGGCTTTCGTAAGCCGATCCAGAAATTCCAATGAGGTCTCTTGTAATTTTTGGAAATTGACGGCCTTACGTGCTGCTTTTTTGAGCCCAGCAATAATACATGCAGAGAATCGGTCCCTACTCTGTATGCCAGTTTGTGTATAATCCCAGTCGGGAGTTTGATCTGGGGCAGCAAGTGGCCCTGGAGGGTGATTGGGATTAACTTGGTGAGTTTCATCTGCATGGACTCTGGCAAGTTCCCAGACTCTGGTATGTTCCTCAAGAAGGAGAGTATTAGCCAATAACATATAAATGAGGCTATAAGCCTGGAGGACCCATTGAAACTCTCTTCTGTGGTGAATGAACCCAACCTTTGCTCGAGTTGCGTGAGGTCATTCATAGAGAATGGGACATGTACCCAGATAATGCCCTCAGGTCCAGCAACCTCTCTTAAAGGGGCCATGGTTTGTGGGACTAGGGGCGGGACCTAGTTTGGGGGAACTAAAGGTGTCGGCCAAGTCAGGGGGAGCACCTGAGGGGCTGCACGGAGCCGACGGGGCAGGTCGGTAGGGAGGGGGTTCATCTGCAGGATAGGCCGGGGTGAGAACGAAGAAGAGAAAAAGCCTCAACATAGGGGATCTCCTTCCACTTTTTCGAGCGCTCACAGAAGTTAAACAGATCTCTGAGAATTGCTGGATCTAGGGATCCTCCTGGGGGCCATTGACTTTGATTGTCCAATTGATAGTAAGGCCAATCTTGTGTGTAGAATTTAATAAGGGGGAGTCTGCAGGGAGGGAAGAAGAAGCCCCCATAGGTCAGGAGAGGGACAAGGGTGGTTAAGAGAGAAAGAGAGAGGAGTGCCTGTTCTTCCACCCCTCGGGACCTCCTGCTCATGAACCGGGTTCCAGAGAGTCCACCGTGACCATGAAGGTCGTGGTGGGGTGCGTTCTCTCCTCCAGATTGGGCATCAGAGGTTTGCCAGACGATCATGATCATGGTCAAAGCCCCTGCATAGCCCGTCTGAAGTTGGATACCTGATAGGGGAACTCACCTACTGAAGAGCCAGTGTTGTGTGAGTAGCAGCGCTCGAAAGAGTGGACAAGGACGACCAGCCTTGAGAGAGGGGGCCCTCTAGCAGCGAGGCATTCCCCCTCCCGGGTTTCGGCACCAATGAAAGAACAATCAAGGCTTGCCATTGGAGAAAATGCCTGTTTATTGAGGAACAGCTCTGCATATTTATAGAGCTGGGGGTGGTTTGACAGTTATGACAGTTTAATGGTTGAACGGTTGACAGTTGGCTGGGGTGCTTTCTGATTGGTGGGTAAGGATCATGTGAGCCAGCAGGGCAAGTCTGATTGGTGGGTAAGGATCATGTGAGCCAGCAGGGCAAGTCTGATTGGTGGGTAAGGATCATGTGAGCCCTCACCATTGGACAGCAGGATCATGTGAGCCAACAGGGCTGACCATTGGACGGCTCTTCTTGGGGGATGGGGAAGTTAGTCTTTGGAGCCAGGGCGACTCCCAACAAAATATATCTATTTGCTGCCCCAGAAAAATTTCTATCTGAAAAGTGATTGCTAATTATGCAGCAAAGTGCGGGCATCAGAAGAACGAGGTCAAATTGGCACCTTGGCCAATCCTGTGATTATGCAGAGCAGATTTCCGGACAAATATAATAGAGTTGGGGAACCCTTCCAACTGATAGTCTTTATCTGAGATTGTAACTATGGCCATAATCCAAACATAGCACACTGATAGATTTTGTTTGGTTCTTTCTAATTTTTAAAATGTTTTAGTCCAGATGCCTATGAAGACATTTCACCTCACAATCTCTGCTTTATATTCATCCTAGGCTCTGACCTCTGGACATAAACAGGTACAAAAGAAACAAGTACTAGTGTAATCTTTTTCCCTCCCTTCATTCCTCTTTTAAATTCTATGGTTTTAGAAAGCATTATAACCAGTAAGATGAATTCTACATTCTTGCTCTTTAATTCTAAGAAATTTACCTTTCTGGGTGAATTCTAGAATCAATCCGTCAAAGACCATGAAAATATTTTTGGAATATTTATTGAAATTATAATTAATTCTATATTCATTTAATGAGAAATAGCATATTAATTATATTGCATTTTCCCATCAGTCAACTTAGTATATACCTCCACTTATCCTTTCCTGTTCTTCAGCAAAGTTTTGCGCTTTTTCATAATGAGCATCTTAATTAAGTTTTTATGAAGATGACCAAAAATTCCTTGAGAAAGATTAACCTAACTTTGTAATGCAAATTCTCCATATGCAGTTTGTTATGCCAAGTTTTGCTCTAAAATTATCTGATAGTCTGGTTTGGGCTAGGAATTAGTGATATTTAACCACATTGTTTTTGTGCCCTACAGTTAGTGCTAGGATGAGATACCCCTTTCGTGTGTCAGGGACTCATTTAATGAGCCTTATTCTTTCCTGGGGCACTTGTTCTCCAACCTTCCTTCATACTGAGCCTTTTGCTATCGAACTCTTCCTTCAAAATGCCGTCCATGCCTTACGATGCTGCTTCTCTTTGTCTCCCAAACCTGAATACTCTTTCTCTCTATAATCTTCATCCTGTAAAGTGGCAAAGAAAGGGGCCTACTTGACCCCTTTTGGTTAGAGGATTCACTTCTTACTTCAAACACAAGATAAAAATTTATCTTGTTCTGCCCAACATGGATACCTGGCATTTTGTGTGTGTGCGTATAAGTTCCCTCCCAGAAACATAAACTCAGGCCTTTAGTGATCCATAGTAGGTGCCTACAAATAACATTTCTCATGACTTTCTTTAAATGTCAGAAAATGTTATGGTTATGAGAGGAATTCTTTAACATCATAAAAGTAAAGATTATCCCAACATTAGTTTATGATAAGGGCATCAATTCTTAGTAACAGTTTCTCTAGAACGCATCTCCTAGCGCACTCTCCCCCAACACACACACACACACACACACACACACACACACACACAAATACATCAGCAGTCAAGTCTTCTACAAGTATCAATTCTTCATTGTCATCTCTTCATTCTCCTCCCTATTATTCTTCCCCAGAAAATACTTTTCATCCCTGGATTACCAAAAAAGAAAAATGTTATTGTTTTGCCCACTTTCTACTCCTTACAACCTGGATTTCAAGATACTCTAAAGGAGGTTTAAGGTCATTGAGAGGATTGAAGGGTCAGAGGCATCACAATGTTGAAACTCTTGGGTAGGTAGCCACTGCAGAGGAGAGAGTGCAGTGACGGTGGTTGCACACAGTGGGGCCAGTTACTAAAAGGCATACTAACTAGTTCTTTTTTAAACACAATTTCTGCACTCATATTTACATTAAAGGTTACACATTTTTGTAAATCCTACAAGTTTTATTTTTAAAACTGAAATGATAAGAGAACATTTTACTTGGTTTCTGGTTTCTCTTATATCTATAATCAATGTAATTATTTAAGGTGGCTTTGTTTGGAGGCTGCTAATGCATCTCCCTCTTAATGAATTACAAAATGTTCTCATTGCATCTTTATGTGCTTGCCCTCTGGTTAAGAATCTCCTTTATAGATATTAAAATGGCCTCTGTTTAGATGTGTTCTCATTGACTTAATTTCTCTTGTGGGGAAAAATACATTGCTAATGATCACCTTGTCTTAAATTGCAGATTACAGTTTTTCGGATGGGATCAGAAGGACACCAGGACATTGATTTAGCTATCCTGACAGCTTTACTCAAAGGTAAAAGAGTTTCTGCATCCAGAGAGTATAAAAATGATTTAAATAGATTAACACAACAACCTCATGTCTCCTATTAGTGGGCATAATCCCAAATGATTCCCTGACACATCTAGTTATTGATAACATGAGGAACTCTCCCATAAGACACTGCTACTACTGCTACTACTATCAAATTCTTCTGTAATAGACCTGTTACAATGTGACTCAATTTTAATACACTATGGCCCTAGTCATATCCATTGAATCATAAAAATATATAAGGAAAAGTTTGAAATAAAATGTAAGACAAGGTCATTTAATAATTATTATTATTTTATCTATTTTCAAAAAATACTCACTATGGCATCTATGTGTGTATGAGGGTGTATTTGAATATATGCACTAAAATTGAAAAACTAAAAATCATTAAAGGGAAAAAAGAAAGAAACAAACAAAAAAATTTAGGCTACTATACTTGTTTCAAATAAGCATTAAGTTCAACTCTACTCCCTGCAAAAGTAGAAATACCCTGGGTTGTGGGATTTTAATTCATATGGTGAGTTTGTCCTATTCTCTAGTCCTAGTGTTATAGACATCTCACTACCTGTCCTCGTCTCTGGTAACATATCCGAGAGATGAGCTGTGTCCTCCAGATTTTACAGATCAAATTTCATCCTTGATGTGCCTTAATAATTGTATGAATTTGACTAATAATTTTCAGTGTTAAAATAATAAAACAAGGTTATGCCTGTTCTGTTCTAAAATTCAAACTGGAATCACAGGCCAAAACTAAACTACAAGCCATGTTGGCGGTGGTTCTCAGAAATGTCTACTACATCCTCCCTTAGCTCCATAGTTTGCCTGCTGTGGTGCTTATCATGTGGCTGGTTTATTACATGGCTGGAGGCTATGTTTGCAGCCTCCCTAGATTAAGAACTCTTTGGAGCAGAGAATGTGTCTTGTGCATTACTGCACTCTCAGGACCTTGCACAATCCCCAACACATGACAGCATTCAATCAATTCTTTTTTATTTTTTGGTGGGGGGAGGCACAAATACCGAGGATTGAACTCAGGGGCACTCAACCACTGAGCCACACCCCAGCCCTATTTTGTATTTTATTTAGAGAGAGGGTCTCACTGAGTTGCTTAGTGCCTCATTATTGCTGAGGCTGGCTTTCAACTAGTGATTCTCCTGTCTCAGCCTCCCGAGCCACTGGGATTACAGGCATGCACCACCTGTACGCCTGTAATTACAGCAGCATCCAATCAATTTTTGTTGAATAAAGAAATTTATAGATTACTCAGTGATTCTGCAATTGATTCAGTATTCCAAAGTTAGACCTCAGAATAACATTTCATTCCATTTTTCCAATATACCTACTCTTTTTCCACTATTAATATTTTCTTGAAAACCTATCATGTTGCAACCTCTGTGCTAAATTCTTTACAACTCCTATAAACATTAATTCTTGGAACTATCTGCTGTTGGGGATATTTGTAGTTCCCATTTTATAGATTAAGTAAAACTATAAGAGGTTAAGTAACTGGCTAAAGTTACAATGCTAATTAGTGAACCTACTCTTGGGCCCAAGTATATCTTAGTCTTCACTATGCCACATATGAATCCTTAGACAATAGAGGCTATGTGTCCTGTGGACACTCCTCAAAAGCACATGCACATTCATTCAAAATTGTGATTACATTTCAGGAGATTCATAATCCTATAAAGTATATTATGTATCCCAGGTTGAGAATTATGGTCTAAAACATTTCATTTCAATGAGCTAAAAACATATCCACACTGGACAGAAGAATTAAAGGACTAGGAACTGTGCATGGGCTGAATCACAAAACATACCCTGGGCCCCATTCTTCTTTTGTCACAGACAAAAATAAAAGTTTAAAGTAAGTAACTCTTATCATATTTGCTCTTCTTATATAAAGGTAGGAAAACATAATGATATTAGTAAATAACATTGAGTATTTGCTTTATGTCAAACACTGTGTTAAGTGTATCCTATGTGTAAATTCATTTATTCTTTCTTTTTAAATATTTTTAGTTGTCTATGGACCTTCATTTTATTTATATACATGTGGTGCTGAGAATCAAACTCAGGGCCTCACACATGCTAGGCAAATGCTCTACCACTGAGCCACAACCCCAGCACTCATTTATTCTTTATAAAAATTCAGTTACCAATTTATCAAAAGTTTATTGACAAGGAAATTGAAGTACAGAACAATTCAGAAACATGCCCAAGTTGGTAAATGGTAAAGACAGTCCAACTAGATAGCCTCACTAAGGTATGCCACCAAGATATCCCTAGCATGTTGATAATAGGAAATGAAACATATTATGATCCTGAAAATTTTTCCTAACAAATAGGGAAGTGATCCAATTATCAGTAAAAATAAAATGACTATCATCTTCTAATGAAATATTTTCTTGCCCTTTCACCCATTTATGAGATTCCAAATTGTGCAACACCTTTAGATTAGTGTTAGAATTCACTTGTTATATTAGAGAATCATGTTTTCCAACTATTTTGAGCATAACACACTGTATGAAATCCACTTTATGCCATAACCAGGCAGTTACACATATGCACTGAGAAAATTGAAATTGAAGTACTTAAAATAATATTTACATGGACAATATGCAGTGAAATTTAATATTTTCTATTTTAATCTATTCTACTCTCCTGAATGCTGATTGTATCCCACTAAATTGATTTCATGATCTACTAATGGGTTGTATCCTGCAGTTTAAAAAACACCACCATAAAAGATGAAAGGAAATTATTATCGCTCTAAGAAATTAACATTTCTAATCACTATAATGAACATTACTTATGCAGCAGTTGAGCTAATGGGAATTTATGCCATTAAAAGATTATGGTGTGTCAACTTTATTTTGCAAAAGCTTTTCAATGCTCTCAGACATTGACCCAGTTGATTTGTGAAGGATATCAAGCATAATATTTTTGCTGACTTCTTCAGAGGCCAAGAGCATTCATTCTTATATCAGTTTCAAATTCTTAAGTTTGTTATGTTATTCTTCCTATGTTTTTCCTGGGCATTTAACAATGTTTAATTGGACTTTTGATTATCTGATGCACTGGAAATCTTTGCACAGTCTAATTTTTATTCTGAGAAATCATAAATTTCTGAGAAAACCAGAAGTTAGAAGAAAGAGGAAGTTTTGAAACTAACCACTTGGCCCACAAATCCAGAGGCAAAAGGAAGAGGAAAGAAAGTGAGAGAAGAGAAGGAAAGGGAGGGAAGAAATCTGGGAAACCATTTGGTTGTAGGAAAAATACACCTTTGCTGCTCATTATCTCTGCTCCCATTGAGTTTGATTTTCTTGGATCTGTATTAGAGAATATTCTTTATATAATGTAGACTTTTACAGTTATCTATTCAAAAACCAAGAGATAAAGAAGACAAAAAGAAGGCTGCTTCAGAGATGTAAGAGGCCCAGAGTTCCTCCAAATGGTGACCTGGGGTACTTTTGACAATAAGCAATGTCACATTGTCCTTCACTACAGGTAACTGAGAGAGGTATTCTGAATCAGAAACTGTGCCTCTCCCTTCCACTAGCGCTCCATCTCCCCTGTCACAGAAACATTGGAGGACAGAGTAAAATGCAGGATGTCCAGTTAACTCTGAATTTTCAGATAAACAAAAGCTAATTTTGTTAGCATGAATATGTCAAGTGGAACATACTTACTCCCCTCCCCCCCCCAAAAAAAAACATTGTTTGCCTGAAATTCAACCCTCACTGTGAGTCCTGTATTTTTATCTGCTAAATCAGGCTACCTGACTCAGAAAAGACACCATGAATGCCTCTGGCTTTCAGACACCTTGAAAAGTTTTATGGGAAGAATGACCTAAAAAATCTAGGGAGGTCCCCTCATCCCTCTCTCTGCCTCTTTCTCTCAGCCAGCCCTAACTAAGTTATATCACCCAAAGAAGACTTCCACTGGAGAGGACCCCACACTTGCTTCAGTTAACTATTGGTGCATATCAACCGGCTCCCTCAGCTTCCTGTCCTGTGTGCATCCCTCACACAGCAGTACAAACCTCTTGCTGAGGCTCAATAAAGCCATAAAATATCTGGTCACAGCAGATGGGTCCTTGTACCCTTCCTGTGAATACAATTGTCCCCAATTCTTTTCATCTTTTCTTGTGGACCTTGATTTAAATAAATAAAGTCAAATCACAGGAGCCAACTCTCATTCACCTCCACCCTGGACAGTGTCACATGATGAGCACTGTCCTCCATAACTGAAAAGTTCTTTTTCTTTGGATTTCATCTTCAATGGTAATGAAGATCACCTGAGGCCTGGGGAGAAAGTTACCTTGACTTCTTACTTTTTTTCTGTAAAGTTTTTTTTTAAAAGCTAAAAGAGTGTAAAACAATATGTTCCTTCTGACAACTGTTAAGGTCGTTTTAAAAAAAGAGAGAGAGAGAAGTCTGAGAGATTGCCTAGAGGAGCCTACAGAAACGGGATGACTAAATGTACTGTTCTTTCCTGGATGGTATTCTGTAGCAGAAAAAAAGGGTAATATGAGGGTAAGAATGAAGGAACTATGAATAAATATGGACTAAACTTTTTTTAAAAATGCTAAGAGAAAAATAAGAAATATATGTTATCATATATTATGGGATCTGATCAAGAGACATATTGTAATCAAAAAACCCTAAAACTCTTTCATATCAAAAAGACAACAAAGGAGATAGTTATTTATGGAATTAATTGTAAAGGTCAGACATACATAAATTCAAAGGACTAAGACAGGTGCAGGCAGTATCTATATAAAGTATCTATATAAATCACACAGTTATGAATAATAGCTAATCACTATCAGTCTAGGAAAAGATTAGAAATACCATTAGGGAATCTGAGCAAAAGGTATACAAATGCTCAGTTAAAAGAAAGCAAATGTATGAAATCAAATTTGTCTATGTACTTACATAATCATTTCAGAGATAATTATCTAGTTCTTATTTTATTGT